ACACACACACACACACACACACACACACACACACACACACACACACACAAAAGCAGCAAACACATTCCTGTTAATGTATAATAATGGAACATCTCAGTGTTGTTGAAAATAGTGCTGATTGCAATCAGGGTCCTGCTGCTGCAACAGAAAAGTCTGAAATGACACTGATTTTAACAATGGCTCTAAATGTTAATAACAGCGACGAGTCAAGTCGAGGGTTTCACAGATGATGTTCCTAAATGTCCCGAGTGCAGCAGGCAGGTCGTACCTGATGTTATCACTTATCTTGGCCCCAGACTGATTATGTAACCACAGCATATGAGTCATGATACTTAGAGGAGCTCTCCCCGTCCACCCGTCTCTCTCTCTCTCTCTCTCTTTGCGTCCTTCTCAATTGTCTGCAGGATTGTATTTTCCTGTTCCCCCTGTTTATACTGCCTTTGGCTCATTCACATAATTCTTATAATAATTTCGCTCCAGATGCAGAACTGACACAGTTTCTTCAAATCTCACAACATCCATGTATGTTACACTCAACTGAAAAAGGAGAAAAAAAAAACACGTCTTAATATTTCATATTCATTTGCAAAAAAAATAAAAATAAAAATAACAAAAAAATGTGAAGAATAGAGACAGCCGCCCAAAAAAGTGAATTCTTTTCTCTTTTGTGAAACTGCCGTTGTAGCAACTCCATTGAATTTATTATAATTCTCCTTTATACTGTATAAGCATAGTTGTTTTATGTTTGTTTGCTTTTTGTTATCTTTATATGAAATGTGTTATTATGTATTTTTTTAGACTGTCAACAAGTCCTAATGGGAAAAAAAATGAAATCAAAGATTCTTGTGTCTAACTCTAAGGTTGAGATAAACTCTGTGACCCTGTTCACACTTAATGCTAAAATGCTTCTCAGGCGATTGGATCAAGATTGGACTACAGAGACACGTTGCTGTTTTATATCTGCGAATCTGTGACAATCATGTGTCTCCAGCTGTCTTTGCTACTGTTGAACACAGATGTTTCATTGCCACTCAAGTGCCAGATTTACTTTAGGTTAGCAAAGAGAACGAAAACTAATATTTGTGTACGAGTTATTCCGGCTATTGATATTGTAATTTGTGAGACAAAATGAAGGAAATGTTCTGTCTGCAACAAGGACAATGCTTCATAACAATTTTCCAGGTTGTTTCTTGTTTTAGGCAATTCAGAAAATGAAAGCATTGACCTTACAATAAATATGTGGCTCAAACCAACACAGAAAGCGCTTTGAGTAAGTGGATCAGATTGCATGATATTGATTGTTCTTTATCTTTAGCACTGTCCGTGTGTAATTTGATCGCAGAAGGTGCAATTTATAATCAAGTGTAGGCAGGGTCTATGTGTTTCTCCACCATATTGTTAAGAGATTTCTTTTTAAAGAACTTGGGCATTGCAGGAACAAATGAATTCTAATAGATGGTGCATTAGTAGATCAATTCGTTGTTGGGATCGGTCCATTTGTGAAGTTTGTTGACCTCGAGAAAAAAATACACAATATAATCAGCCTTATACTTTAACAGTAAAACCTCATCAAGCACTACGATGTTCCCAGAAAAGAAAAAACACATTACAGCTGGTCGAGCATTAAGGTCTAAGGTCATTTGTCAGCCAGACTCTTGACAGTTCTCTCCTCTAATGAATGTACAACATCTTCCACTGACCAAGACTTTAGGGGAGGGTGGAACTAGGCCAACTTTAAACACTTGAGATTCAAGAGATGTTCTGTCTGAGCTACACAAAGCTCTTTATACGCCTGTCTGTGTAGCACTGACGGCCTCAACTGACCAGCCTCATAAAAATGAGGACTTGTTTCACCCTGCCAGCACACAAGCTTACTGTTTACTGTTTTATCAGTTTTTCTTGCGGGTGGCGCTTCACATCGACGCCCACTAGCTGCCAAGCTGCGTCGCCAGTTATCAGTCGAGCTGATACCAAGGGATTTCGTGTAGTGTCTTTTAATTGCGAGCCATTTGTCTACTCACATTGTTGTAGTGTGTGCATTGTTCACCTGTTGTAGAGACAGATTATACTGCAGATACAAAGAGCTGCTTCATGTACTTTGTAGTTAATGGCAAATAATAAAAGGAGCTGAAGTGTGCCTACAGTGCCAGATCACAAATTTGATCAGCAAACCCACCTGAGACGTTGCATTTTTGCTGTCCCTTTTCTTTGATGTCTACATTTTTTCCCTACTGCTGTCCCCACCGGTGGCCTTTGGCTTTTACTGCGTGTTGTGCTGCCTGCCTCTCCCTCTTCTATCAGCCTCACGTTGCCCTTTATGGTTGTTCCTCCTGTATATGATGAATGTCACTGCCTTTGCCCTATTCAGTTAGCTTAACAGGGACAAGGGGGCAGAATGTGGATGAATATAACCGTCTGATGTCCTCTACATTAAAATGCTGCTGTAGTTGCTGCAGTACAGCGTGTTGAATGTAGTAGGGGTGGGCTGTGCTTATAGAAGATTTTTGGGGGGAGGAACTGCTATGGATGTTAAATGCTAAGCAAAGCTAGCTACCAGCAACCTGTTAGCTTAGCGTAAACTTTGGAAACAGGGAAACAGCCTATCTTTAAAGGTCACCATTTAACATGTAACATCAAAAGTAAGATTTAAAAGGACACGTCTGTTGATACAAGCAAGAAAGGACTGAAATGCCTTTCTTCAAACTGTAATACTATTCCTTTTGTGTATTAAATAAAATTCTTACGGTTTAGTTGTATAATGATGCTGAAAATTCTGGACACCACCTGGAGTCAAAGTAGCTGTTAAATAATTTATTTATTCCAACACTAGAAAAGACCTAAAGTAGTCATAGAAAACCCTCCACCCCCCCCACCAATGTCACTTCATGGTTTTGACCACTGTAAAATTTTATGAATCAAGAGGTAATAAGTGAGGTTCTTGGGTTGTTCAATGATGTTCTATGCTTAAAAAACATTTTATGGGATATTTATCATGCCTGTCTTTCACGCAAAAAATAATATTTACTCATCACTCCTTTCTAAACCTAATCTATCAATGATGCTGAAGATTAAAAAAATGTGACTGCCTCTGTGCAACAAATCCACAATTTTCTGATTGAATTATCAACAATTAAAGACTTTTATATCGTCCGCACACAGCTGTGTTTATTGATTGTGGTCTTTGCTTGAACGTATCTGCCTCCTGTAATCAATAGGCTTCAGACTTGAGGGATTAAAAGTTCTCTTAGTAAATATTCCAGACTGCATGAAGAAATAGAATAAGATTTGCTAACTGCCGTGGGCCTTTGTGCAATAAGATCAATTGCAAGTTCATCTTGATAATTGGCTGTGCTGAGATCGCATGGGGAGAGGTAAAGAGGAGCAGGCTGGGTTCACTGTCCCCTCTTTTACTGCATGAAAACAGTTTGAGCCTCTCCACTGATCACATATCATGTTCTGCTCCTGGTGCAGAAACTAGAAAATATAAGCTGTGCGTGAAAAAGAAAAAAACAGAACTTCCCTAATAAGTAATCAAGGGACATATATCTGCAGCATATAGGACTGACTCACATATGAAATTGTTTTTTTTTTTTATCATATATTCCATTTTTCTCATATATTGTCATATACATAATAGCCTTCATGCACATATAAAACATCCCAAAGAAGCAGATGTGGTTCTCTGTGACATGCAGTGTTAGCTGAAATACTTTGTTACACAAGCTCTGCTAAAGAGTTATTTCTTCCAAATTACAAAGGGCAAAAATGATAAGTTCTAGTATTTACTGAACTTTCGAACTCTGTCTATTGAAAAATGTGTCCTTTGTGTTACGTCACAGACTAATTACCTTGCATTTTTTAACTTTAAGATGAACAAAATCAAATAAAAAAAATCTATTCAGTACTTAAATTGTTCTGAGACTAGAATTTCAGTCAGAGAAATCTCAGCACTGACAATTAAAAGCAAGGCCACCTACAAGACTAGGCACCATGAGAGACAGGAGAAAAAAAATACCGTAGTCTGTATTTGGTAATATAAGTGAACAAGCTGAGTGAAACGTCCCACTCAACAGAACACCAACATCAAACACAACAAAAAGGTTTGAACAAAATTGCTCCCGTCTTTGTGTTGAGGTAATCATGTATATGCATCATGCACAGATAGAGATCTGACTCTGTGTGAACAGTGAGAGGTACGTGATTGAGAGCAGGTCCTTAATCATATCATCTGTGCATCTGGCCCACCATGAAATAGCAGCTGTTCTTTCTCAAGCTTACATTTTTTAGTAAACACTGGCGTCTGCCTTTCACTTCATAGCATAATTACTCACACCTACTTGCTTGTTTAAAAAAGGAATTATTATCCGCCTAGGACCTGGCATCCACATATGTGGACATCACATTTTGGGTTATTTAGACCAAAATACTCAATTTTGCTCTACAAGGGCCTGATATCCACTGACGAGGACATTATACTGCCACTGTTCTATCAAAATTTTAAATGAGTATCCTCATTTGTGGCTCTTATTTTTCTTAAAAACAAAAATAAGGTGAAAAAAAAAATCTGGTAATTCTTTGTTTTTACATTCATTGGGCCCCAATCAGCCCAAATATCAAAGAGAAATTCAAAATGCATTTTTGATATATTGTGAATATTAAAAGAAATACCTCTGACAAATCATAATCGCAACTTCTAAACTGCAACCCAACTGCAACTCTAACATGCCTAAAGTCTAACCTTGTGGTATCAAAATATATCCTTTTTGCCTTGGCAATCATAGAGCACTAAGTGACACACAAAAACTATTGACATTTATTCCAAAAATGTCACTTTTTAAATTTTTCTAAAGCGCATAAGGCTAGCATCAGACCTAACCCTGGACCTAACAGTGTTAATTTAATTTTGCCGCAACAGCCTCTCCATTTTCTTTGTGCTTTGCACAGCAGGGCAGTAGAGGATAGCAACAGCA